GGCACACATTATTATATATATAGATATAGATATAACACATTGTAAATTTCAAAACATGCACAGAACTGCAGAACAGCAGCTGTCCCAAATCTGTAAACTCTGTTAATATCAGTTTCTTTCTCTTGCTGTCACTCCTCACAAACCTGTTCAGTGAGCACCTCCTGCTGCTGTCCTCAGGAAACCCCGTTTTTACTGTTGTTTATATAAAGCAGGACATTTGTTCCAGAAGGTTCATTCAGATTAACATCTTCTTTATGTCTTCATGTTTATGTCTTTTGTCACATTCATTACTGCCGGTGACGACGTGCAGCAGACTCTCGTCAGTCCCCTCAGCCTGAAAATGTGAGGAAGGGTCGTGAAGTCAGAGTGGACATCAGGCGGAAGCTGAAGTGGTGCGGTGAGAGCTCTGCGATCGCCACCCTGACGGAGTCTTCAGGTCAAGCAGCGTGGAGCACTACTTCCTGCCAGGATTCCCAACAGGAAGCAGCGTGGACACCTGTAAGCCAACAGCTCGCTGGGACTCATGTGACAGGCTTCAGACACGCCTCTTTAATGAACGCAGCCCAGGAGGCTTAAAGCAGCGCTCCATTTATTTCTGCCTCCTTACCTGCTGGTGACGAGGCAGCAGCAATGTTTTTGTTTCATGCTGTTTTATTTCCGCTGTCAGCTTCATCGTTACCGACTCTGTAAACCTGACACTGAACCTCCAGCTTCACTTCATAAACTTCGCTTTGAAAGGTGATTTCTGAATTCATAAAGTTATTATTCTCATGTACATATCAGGTGTTTTAGAAAGAGACCTCCAAACAGGACAAAAATAAATGTCTTACATACAGCTGATCGTTCACACCACACGAATGATCACTAGATACTGTGTAATACTCAGAGACTGCAGCTGTGGACAGAATAAACCTGATTGTGCAGGTGGAAAGATGCTGAGTTCAAACTGTGACTCTGAAGATCTTGATGGATGACAAAGATGTTGATTTATGGTTTTTAATCCACGTCCAGCTCTGCAAGGTTCCCTAAACAGTCGAGGTTTTCTTTGTGACCCCTGCCGCCCTCCCACCTCCGGCTCCTGCTGAATTTTGGGTAATTTTGTGGCCGGTGGCAGCATGTGACGGGCGCCATTAAACTGTCATATCTGTGTGGGGAGGAAGTCAGCGGCAGTGAGATAAGATAAGACTGCCTCTCTTTGTAAACCTTTTATCCCTCGCTTCCACATCGGGGTCCACAGAGGAGCCCCGGGGGACTCGAGTCCACGCTGCGATGGATGCAGAGCACCTCAAGCACCTTTCAGGTCGGAGGGAAAGGCACCGGCGAGCTCTGAGGAACCGTCTGAGCTTCACATCTGGTGAAAAAAAACACATTTGGTTCAAACATCAGCTCAGACGACAGCTTCACTCCTTCATGTCCCAAATAAGAGCATTACTGACGCGTCCAGATCGAGAAAGTTGTAAAATGGTTTGTCGTTGCGTCGGCTGTCATGCCGGCGTCAGCGCTCAGGGAGCTAACCCTCACAGCGACTTCACCGTTCATGGCTGAGAGCATGAATCAAATCACGAAATGATGAAATCCTCGGGTCTTTAAACTCATCACAGTGCAAATATTTTAACCTCTGCTAACCTGCCCCACAGCATGAGGAGGATTTAACTCCAGATCTTTCTTCATGTATCTGGTGATGTTTTGAGCAAACCTGGTGAAGAGCAGTGCTCGAGTTTTTCTTTCCCACTGTCGCCGAGTGTTTGATAGTTTCTCTGTATTACTGAAGCGTCTTTAACCCTATAAAACGAATTTAGGTGGCTGTTGATGTGACCGACTCTGAAATTGTATTTTTATCCTTTTGGATAAAAGGAGGCCAAACATCCTGAAGAACCTAAAAAAACTCGTCCGATTATTTTAAACTCAGGTGTAAAAACCTGAACTTTGAATCCCGGCAGAGCAGTTTTCATTCATTCTGCAGCTCGAGCTGTTGTTGTTGTTGCTGACGTGATGGGAGTCGCGTCCTTGGTCTTCTCTGTGATTGTGGAAACGTGGAAAATGGACCTTTGAGACCGTTTCCGTCCTCCTGCTTTCACTTTGAAGCCAAACACGCACTCGTGCTTTTATTGACGCATCAGTCAGGATTTATTGGGGAAATTGAGGAGATTTAACAGGTAAATTTATTCAGTGTGTTCTGCTTTAAAGCGATCAGAAAAACATCTGTTTGCACGTCTGTGCTTCGACTCGTGTGTCCGGGGTTCAGCTTCTTTGAAACAATAATTCTGGCGGTGGGAGGGCGGGGCTGAAACCTCTGATAACGGCCCGTTTCGTGTCTGTTTTTTTGCGCTTGACCTGATCCCGCCACCTTGAAGCCTTCGCGCCCAAATGGACCGTCCAAATTGCCCTGGTCATCTCACCATCAAAGCCAGAATTACACCAACAACAAACAACAGCTCCCCGCTCCCGGTTTTATCTGGCCGGGTCACGGACGAAGCAGCCGGCCTGTTTCTCCTTCATCCTGGGAGGCCCTTTGATTCGTTATTAAGATTACGCTAACGTTATATTTGAACATCAGAGGAGCAGTTAGGACCTGCAGGAGTCCCGACTAAAGGCTGGAAACCCACTGATCCACTGCGCTGGGCCGTATCGCAGCCCGGCTTCGGAAAATCAAAGGAAAACGTGATTCAGAACATGTGGATCTGTCTGTAGTGGAAAGACGAGGGAGGAACACAGCGGCTAAATGGAAACTATGGAGAATGCTAATGGCACTACGAGGCTTTTGATGATAAGTGAATGAGAAGGTGACGTAATGTTTTTACCCCAAAAGCCTCGAGGACACCGAGAAGAGTGAACTCCAGAAGTGGGAGTTTGATGGAAAAGCAGGAAACAGAAGGATTATTACAGCACGTTCACATCAGCCGCAACATCTGCTCATATAGGAGACTTTGAAAGGAAAAACAGATTCAAATACAAAACAATACACTTCAACATTACAGAGGCGGCTTAAAGAGGACCGAGTGTTCTCGAGGGTCGGCGTCAGAGGCCGAGGACAGAGCCGCCGTTCGAGTTCCCGTAGTCGGACAGGAAGTGGTTGCACTTCAGCCGGAGTGCAGCAGGGGGCGTTTACGTGGAGAGTCATGAGTGACTAGAAGTGAACGAGCTGAAAATGATCTCCACCTGCTTCGTCATTTAAAACTACAGCAGGCGCATGGCTTCATTACTGCAGAGCCTTTGCTTTCCACCTTAAAGCACCTGCAGGCCTGTTGTGAACAGCTGTTAAATAAATGAAGTTAAATTGAATCCACACATTTTGTTTTAGTTTTCATGAATCATAGCATGTCAAAGCATCGGCGTCCTTTAGCGATTTTGCCCTCAAACACTGGTCAGTGACGGGTTCGGGACAGGACGTCGTCCCTCCACGGCGCCTGTTTCAGACCATAATAACGTTTCCACCAAGCGTCGGTAACAGCAGCCGCTGCAATGAAACGGACACTTGTTCTCTAATTTCACTGAAACATTCTGCTCCACTGTCAGAAACATGGAGCTGTTGTCACGACCTGCGGGATCGGCAAGATCAGCATCTCTTCACTCTTAGCCCCCCTTCTCTTCTCTTTTTCCTCTCCCCTGTTTTGCTGGGGCGGAACTCATGGCGGCTTCACGCCCTCGGTCCACGCCTTCCTGAATTGGGAACACCTGGGCCTCATCAGACCAGCTGGTATATTAGGAGGAGATCAGCTGTTCAATGCTGGATTGTTGTGAAGGCTCTTGTCAGTACACACCTAGCTCAAGTTTCCCGTGCCTCTGTCCCAGAGACTTAACGTGTTCCCAGATTCCCCGGACCCATCCCCGTGTTTCCCCGTGTGGAGTGTGGAAGGAGTGACAGGTCGCTAGCGGAGTGGAGAGAGGCTGTTCTGAGCGCGTGTGTGATTTCCCCGTTTTCCCTGGAGCCCTGCCCCTCACGTCTTGTATATAGCACTAACCTCGCACCGTCTGTACATACACTTGGTGAAGATCTGTAAATAAACTATCTCTGTTTGAACGCTACCCAGGAGTCCTGCGAGTGGATCCTCTAAGCAACTCGTGACAGCTGTGGTGAAACTGAATGAAGGCCTGACGTCTGCTCAGCTCGCAGTCTGAGCTGCTGGACCGTCCTGCCTGCAGAGCGGCGATCCTGTGGCTTGGACCGACGCTCCTGAATGCTCCGGGAGCTCCAGCTGGAAAACTCCCTCCCAGCGGTGGTGTGAGATTCCAGCTGGTTCACACCCTCCCACACGGCGTCCTGTGACCGCAGCCGCCCGGCGTGCAGCTCAGGAGCTCGGCCGATTCCTCCAACACCTACGGGCTGACCTCCGAGAGACCACAAACACCGTCCACAGTGACGCTCGGTGGCTTTTTACTGTTCTACAGTTTAATACTCTGAGCTCAGAAACGTGAAACTGTGTTCATGCTTCCTCGCGCTGTGCCAGACTCTGTCATCCTTTGTTCTGACCTGTGATTCAGATTTTGCAGAGACAATAAATCCCTTCTAATCAGAGCTAAACCTGGTTCACAGCAAGACATGAATCTAATTTGAAGCCAGAATTAAATACAGTTGAAAGCTGACATTAAACCTGAATTAAAGCCTCCTTTAAGACACTTAAATCCAATTTGAGGTTGTATGAAGATTTAAAACCAGTTTTAAATGTGGTTTAGAGCCTGGATTAAACTTTTACTTAAAGCTCAGGTTAGACCTGATTTAAAGTTAAGCTTTAATTCAGATTGAACGCTGACATTAAGCTGTTATCATGTCTAAATTATTGAAAAACTTAATTACACTTACATTAAGCCCGATGGCAGCCAGTATAAAACCCGATTTAGAGTCACCATTAAACCAGACCTAATCCAGACTGCAGCTGCCTTAAACCCGAGCTTTCTGAAGCAAAGCTGTGACTGAACACACCACCTAAGGAATAAAGAGTGTTGTTTACCCAGAATGCCACAGGCACAGCGCACAAACCTCACAAACAGCAGGTGGCAGGTTGAAGTGCACGACATCAACATGAGTTTATTTCAGCTGGTAAAATACATCCATTCCTGTGAGGTTGCAAAATGTCAAAATGCATGAACACTTTTTGTAAAGCAGTCCATAAAAAACACGTCATCAACGTCTGCTGCGAATAAATAAAGTGGCATCAAAGTGAACGCAAAAGGCATTTTTAGATAAATGGAGGTGATCCAGAAATATACAAACAGAAGGTCGACTCGGCGTTTCTGAGTCCGCACATCACGACAAAATACCAGACGTGATAAAAACAGCAGAAAGAAAACATGAAGACAGAGTGAAATCAATAAAAACAAACAAAGTTTAGGCGTTCAGCCTTTCAGAATAAAAGCCTTTGTGAGACAAACAGGAGCCTCAAAATCAATAAACTCAACTTACTGTGGAGCGAGTCACCCGGCTGCTGCTTTCATTACTTTAATGAAGTGAAACTGTCTCCTTCCTGCTGTTTATTACAACTCTTATTTCCATAGCTGTAGCCAACACCTTTGTAGTCATCAGTCAAGTTTCCATCCAGCTTTCATGTTTTCAATTCAAGCATTAAATTCAAATAAAGAAATGTTGACGGAAACTTTTTACGGTGTTCCCCATTTGCAGTGTTTTTGAGTTTGATGAGGCATGGATGGAAATGACATTTCTAATGTAACGTTAGCTGGCGTCATCTTGTACTCGTACACAAGGAAACTAAAACTAGAATAGCCGTTTAACGTGAACGTCGACAGCTAAACACAAACATGACTTTTTGTAGAACTATCGAAATTCACAGTACGACACGCGGTGGGTTGAATTTTCGGGTCAAATACTCATCGAATGACTACGATCAGTCTTTATTAATTTTGCTTGTACATAATCAGAAGATGTGATGGCCACAGGTACAAAAACAAAATTTAAATCGTTATAAACTGGTTTAGCTTAAGGTCCTGTCCACATGTACACAGGCATTTAGTTAATGTGACTTTTTCTGGGCCTTTTGGTCCCAAAGTAAACATTTATTGTTTATAGTCTTTTGAGCTGCCAGCATTTTTATGCAGTGAGGCTTATATCGCCACCTGCTGGCACGCTCTTGATATTTTTCAAAAAGAAATCCTTGCTTTAAAAAATACCCATGTATATGAGGATGTAGCCTAATGCTGACAGTCAGATGTTCGATACCAAAATCATGTCTCGTGTCAAGCTTCAGAACTGTTGGCAGATCCAGGAAACCTTTGTTAGTACTGACAGAAAATGCTGTAAATGTTTGAACTCCACTGAATAGCCGGTGTGACGTTACAGCTAGCTGGCTAACCGCCCTGCCTTTAATCCCTCTACGTTACCACATCTTTTAATTTAATGCTTTTGCTTCAACTCAATCGTCTTAGACTTAATAATGATAATTTTGCTAGCTGGCTAATTAGGATTCACAGTTTTCGCCCACAATAACATTGGCAAGCGGTCCTAGTTAGTTTAGCTAGCTTAAGTAACTAAATTGAATGCGTTAAAATAGTGGATAGATCGTAAAATTATCTGATAGTCCTGTTTGGCTAACCTATGTTCGTTACATAAAACTGGTGTTTCCTCTGGCTAATGCTAGCTAGTGCTCTAACATGAGCGTTCGTTTTGTCGTCATGTGGAGCCAAAAGATAAACATGACGTTCTTTGGATTTTTTAGGGAACTTTAGCCTATGAAATGACAGGTTACTGAGGTTTAACCATGTGACTTGTTCACCACTGTAGACACATGAGAATCATGGAGTCAGCGTAGATAATTATAAGACTTGAGACCAGTCTGAAACCATCTGCCATCCACCGGTTGTTTCCTGATCATTTCCAGACCAGTTGCGAGGGGTAAATGATTACTAAAGTGTCAGCCACGCAGGTCTACGGCCCGATCAGTGGTAACTAACCCTTGCTAAGGAAAATGTGCATTCTCCAACTGTCCAAAGTTCCTTGTGATGACTTTGGTTCCTAACATGTTGCTGCGGTCTTAGTCCGAATGGAAGAAACAGACCTGAAAACAAACACTGTCCAAAGTATGACACAAACCTTCTCCATCATTTCTGGTTCACATCGCACTTTTTCAAGTTTTACTACAGCCGGGCTAACAGTTAGCAAACATGAAAAACTACAGACAACCTGTGAGCAACAAGTGATCGCTAAGACGTTTTTGGTGTTCCACCGTCTTGGCAACCCATTTCAACCAAAGACCTCAGGAACCAAAGCCAATCAGTTCGGGAATACACATTTCCATAGTAACCATGGTGGTTGCATCTCGCCCACGGCAGACGACGTGTTCATGACATCACGCGAGAAACCTCAATAATCCTGATTTTTAAATGACTTCAGCTTCCGTTCAGATATTGGCGATAACCTTTAGCACGGACATGATTTTGGTAACGATCTTCTCTGTAACTCTCAGTATGAAAACTAACAAATGATTTAACTACACCATGAGCTGTGCTAACGAGACAGCTGCAGCAGAAACGTGTTGGTACATTTATTGCGCGTCTGGTTGTAAAGCTGAAATCTTCAGACATCACTAAAGATCATCTGGAGACAGAATCAAACCTGTAAGCTGACGCCTTATCGTCAACCCTTTGTAGGACATTAAACTGACCTTTGTACAGTCACTGTGGTAGAAGCTGCCAGAGTTAATGCCCAATTTAATCAAATATTTAATTAGCTTTAATTCCATAATCGCTATGTGCAAACGTTAAAAATGCACTTTTAAAATACTGTGCATACGTTAAGAATCTGTGCATGTTCAAACCGCTCTCCACTCTACATCACTTCTCTACAACACAGATGGAGCTGCTGCAAGTTTTAAGTAAAAAAGAAAAAAACAGAAGAGAAAACACCGCCATCGTGGAAGAAGCTGAACAAGAAGTCAACAAAGACAGCACAAACACCGTCAGGTCTGACCACACGGCGAAGGCTAAACCGGAACCCACAGACTCCCTGACATCATCATGCCGAACGAGAAAGGAAGCACAAAATGGACGTAAAGCTTCAGTCAAAGATTAAAACAAACAAAAACAACACCACAGACTACTTCATGCCAACAAAATACAGCTCCGACTAGTCATCCACATTCCAGGTAAAATAGTTGGTCTTTAAACCTGAAAATATAAAAATACTTCATGTTTTAAGGTTTTAGTGGTCTTTGTTTAGTGACTGAGGCCGTTTCCGTGCTCAACACTCAGCGATTAATATATTTATATATATTTTCTTCTTTTTAACACCAGGACAGCACACAGGAGCAGCTCAGAACAACAGTGATTGAAAGACGGGATTGGATCGTCACAGGCGGCCACGAACAAACAGGCTGAACCGTACATTCAAGTCGAGGGTGGGTATCCATGCTCTGACGACGGGGTCCAAAAAATAACTCTAAACTGGGGATTTTTTCTTAAGCGCAACAATCAATCAAACCACCTTTTTTTCTTTTCTTTTTGTTGGTCGACATGCAGAGTCTTGTGCAAAGTTCCTGGTCGGAGAAGCAGTGCTTGGTTTGTCGTTGCATTGACTTTTTTTCCTGGGTAACAGTCGATGCCATGGGTTCTGAGGCGTGGCAGAGTTGAACCAGCAACTTTAGTTGAGTTTACAATCTGCGGAGGTCGGAGGGCAGCTCGTCAGCAACACGCCCGGCCAATCACCACTGTGGTAAAAAAAGGAAGGGCGGGGAATAGTTAGCTGAGATACTGTGAATAATGATGGATCTGAAACCTGCATTCTTTCTAATGTCCAGCAGGGGGCGACTCCTCAGGTCAACAGTATAAACAAATAGTTTCTCACAACTGTCGACTGTTCCAGTATTGAATGTTTATACTGATCGTGACCAAAGTTTCCAATAATGAGCTCAGTGCAGTAATCTAAACACTGCAGTTACATGGCCCCGCCCACCTACTGTTTAGACCTTCTGTTTGTGAGAGGAAACCAATCAGAAGAGTGTTTGCTTAAAAGGGGAGGAGCTAAAACAGCTTGTTTCAGACAGAGGTTGGAATGCAGACTACCAGATAAAGAAGGATTATTATGAATTATGAATCATGAAAATCTGCTTAAGTAGAGAACAGGAAGTGACATCATGCCTACATATGTCTGAAGAACTTCTTCCTTAAAGCGTGCTGCTGAGGATCTCCGACACCTGGGAGTTGGTTTGGTCATCCGAGTCCACCTCCTGGGCGGTGGCTCCCTCTGGCTCCTCCCCCTCCACGACCACCGACACGCCTGCGGCCCTCACCTTCTCCATCACCACTGCCCCCTGCTCCTCCTCCTCCCACCCCCTCCTCTCGTGGCCTGGTGACAGCTCTTTGCAGGGCTCAATGAATATCCTGCGAACGTGCGGTCGCGGCTCCCGATGTCGGGTTTTGCGGCTCTCCAGGACACAGGAGGCGTGGCTGACATAGGTGGTGCCATCCGGGGAGGGCAGGTCCCCCGGCAGGGGCAGGTCGGGGTCGAGCTGCTTGGTGTAGATTCCCTCTGACAACGATCCGGTGTGACTCTCCCCGCTGTGGCCCCTGAGCCAGCGCTGGGGCCCACTGAAGTACTGCCCGCGGTGGCTCCTGGACAGGATCTTACGTTTGGCGGGTGGGTTGGCGAGGGTCCGGAGGGGGGCGGGGCCCTCGTGGTGGCTCTTTGAGAGCGAGAGGCCCTCCAGAGTCCGGGTGGTGTCAAACAGAGCCGGGGACAGGGGAAGATCTTTGGAGAACCTGGGGGAGAGGGGGAGGGAGGGTGAGGTGGGCAGGGTTCGAGAGCGAGAGGGCGCGCGAGGGAGGAGAGGTGAGGAGAGGGGAGCATCCTTAGGATCCTTCACCACGGGGGAGAGGGGGAGGTCTTTAGCCGGGCACACGCTATACCTGAGTGGAAACCATGAGGAAAGTAATCAGATTACCCAAACAACATGGAGGACCTGCTGGAGGATTGATACTGATGCTCAACAACTCAAAGAAGCTAAAATCTAAAGAAATGAAAACGATTCACTTCAGATGAAAACAAAAAACGTCATGTGACTCTGAGGGTGGGCCTGCGAGGTGATACCAGGTGTGCAGGGCGCATCCTAGTCAGGTAACAGCGCTGCGCTGTGGACTGACTCTGATCTACAGCCTGAAGTGATCAGTGCACGCACACGAAGACGTGCAGGGTTAAAGAAAGCGCACTAATCACCGGAGCTCGTTGATTTGGAGCACGTCCGGGGCGCTGCCGCCCAGCAAGCGCAGTGCCTGCTGGGACAGATCCTGGCCCGGAGAATAGAGCAGATCCAGGTCACGGGGGCTCAGGGCATCGCTGGAGTCATAGTCGCTGTCTGTGGGCAGGAACACCTCCGAGGATGCATCTTCATCTGAGCCCGGCAGCGACTCTAGATGACAGAGGATTAACGTTAGCTTTGAGTGCTTCTTGTTTTCCTGAAGTTTAATTTGTTGAGCGATGCCTCACCGCTGATGGCTTTCCTCCGGCGGAGCTCTGGGGAAGGAGACGGTGTGGGCAGGTAGTCCATGTTTGAGGAAGTGGAGTCTGTCTTCTGTTGACCGGAGTCACTCTCAGGAACGCTGGCATCCACCAAGCAGGTGATGGGCACGCCGCCTCGAGGCTGCTTGTAGCGTGCGTATTGTAGGGCGTCCGTAATCCAGCGAAGGTCCCGCCGCATCTCGTCCAGTTGCTACAGAGACGCAGAAAAAACAAGTTTAGCCCTCAAAAAGCTCGATGGGGGCTGCATGGAGCACAGCAGGAGTTACAGCTTTACTCAAATACCAGAGAGCTTTTCTGATGATCTACTCGTCTATGGCATCAGGCGATAACCACTGTGATGACTGAAGCCTGATTATGAAGAGTTTGGTTCTACTGTGAGAGATCTTACTGGGCTTCTTTCTGTCATAACAACATTACTGATGCTGAAAACTACATTCATGTATTTAACGGGACTTTTGAGCTCAGCTGTGGAAGTGGAACTTTATGAACAGGAGTCAGTCACAGGCTCCTCCTCTGACACTATCGAACAAACACGAGTGACAGTTTTTCTGTGGCGTGCACGCTCTGTGCACGAAGGTAAAGTCAACATGTGCCTCGGGTGGAACGAAAGGAGGCAAATCAAAAAGCGATCAGCTGATGTCACAATCAGCTTTAGTCTAATCGGCTGTACTCTTCATCCTATTGGTCCTGCAGAGTAGCTCCGCCTGCTTATCGATCCCACTGATCTGACCACCACCCGCCTCTATGGTGACGCTTCCACAGCACAACGTTCTACCCACTGGCTCTGGAGTCATGCATCCACACTGTCAGCACCTCAGCGTTCCTGTGTAACACTCCTAACAGCAACATTCAGGTCTCAGGTGTTTCCTGCACGTTGTTTAGGATGCAACATATGATGAAGACACGGAGAACAATTATATGCCGGATCCACGTCCACTCGGTAAAGTCTAATTTGGCTGGAAGGTTAAAAACACTTTATACAAATACTTTGCAGTTCAGCCCAGAAACAGAAAGTTTGAATCCATCAGCTTGTAGTTAGTTTGTGCTGTTCCAGTGGAAAAGACGTAAAAACGACCACTTTAAAGAGAAAATGGCCTCATGAGACTTTCATCTGTGGGCTCTCAGTGGGATCGTCACAGCTTATTACGAATATTTGTCTGAAACAGTCCAAAACAAACAAAGATTATTATACAGCGTCGTCCCGTTTAGTGACATATTACTGTGGAGTTCTCTGTTTTGTATTGTGCACATTAGTGAGGTCATCCCAGCGCGTGTTATACATAAGTGACAGGATTTCTTCATAAGTGGTTAAACTGCTGATGTGATCTGATCTGGAAACAGTGAAAAACATGTTTTCTTTGGACGGCAGTAAAGTGTGATCAGCAGTAATTAGCCTGCTGTCAGAGAGGCCGAGGCCCACCGCGGTCCTCGCAGAGTCAGCCGACCGCCGACACACACGGTGGGGAGACGGACAGCGGCGATGACTCGACTGGAAAGAATGCGGCGAGTCTGCTGCGAGGAAAACACGAAGGAGATTCCTGCTCGTCCCACAGAGCGCGGCGGCACGTCTCTGCCGAGCGTTTACAAAGAGCTGCTGCTGAGCCCGGATCGATGTGAGCCATTACATCAGCCCTGCGCCGCGTCCACAGGAAATGAAGCGACGCAGCGCGAGTCCGCGGCTCATCTGCAGCTTCTCATCGTCAAATCTAAACACAACGCGCCAAAGAAATGACGAATCCTTCGACAACAAAAGTCGCACCTGAGCCAGCGCGCCCCGCAGCAGGTACACAAAAGATGTCAACGTCCTACAAATAAAGGCTTCTGATTGGTTTACTGTCTCTGGACAGATGATGTCAGTTTCTGATTGGTTTGTTTCATTGCTCTGTCTTTCCTCTGCTCCGTATCTTTGGATGGGTTCGGTTTGTCACGCACAGAAAACTAAACCAGGTGAGCCGGTTCAGTTGCTGATTGGCCCTAAACCCTGAGCCTGGTTCTGTTGGAGGTTTCTTCCTGTTGAAGGCGAGTTTTCCTCCCCGTGTCACCTGGAGCTCGCTCACAGTGTCGTTGAAGGCACTTAGCTCAGACTTGCAGCGCACACCTGGATGGATCGGATCACGTTCTCACCTTTAAAGCGCTCTGGAGTCCATGTGGAAGCGAGTCTCGGTGTTTTGGGCCACGCCCGTGTGTGATTACCGCGACACAAACTCAGCACGTATAAGCTGGAGCTGTCTTTCTGCAGTAACAGTGGGACAGACTGGGCTGAGCCATCACAGCCATCAGGTCCAGTTTTACTACATTTAAAGAAACATAAGAAAAAGTCTTCCTGCGTTCAGACGGGAAAGTTGTTGAGCCCCACAAATCCTCTTAAGTTGGTCGTGATGATGAATCTGCTCGCACATCTGTAAAGCTGCACGGCAGTAAGAAGAAGTCAGTTCGAAGCCGTTGCACTGCAGATAAGATGCTGGAGGTTTCACGCCGATCGGGGTGGCGTGGAGCTTCAGGGAGAGAGCTGTGCGGTGACGAGCTTCCCGAGCTGAAGATGAAGTTTCCATCTGCAGCTTCATGATGTCACACCAAGAGCGACGCAGGCAGATACGCCGCACTCTGCTCAGCGTCGCTTCCCTCAGCATCTGTGTCCGGTTACCGCAGCGACGCCCGTCTGGGCGCTTGTGTTTCCTGCTGAGCCAAACCTGCTTCCTGAAACAGAAACGTCCTGATGAAGACCAGCGATACGGGTTCACTGAAGAGCTGACTGAGAGAGCCGAAGACGGACGAGCAACAGGAACTGCGATCGATCTGCTCGCCATCGCTGCAGCTGAGCCTAAACTAACTGTCCAATCAGACTCAGTGTGTGAACGTTTATAAATATGTAATAAATCAGTCACTCCTGTAACGTGTGTGTACGTGATAGCGTGGCAGCGATTACATGTTGAAACCAGCTGTTGTCTCAGATGTGCTCTGTTTCTGAGAGATGAACATTAAGTTTTGGACCGTTCACAGTTAAAGTGATGACTGTCCTCAGGACGCCTGACGGAAGCTCCACCCCTCCACGCGCTCTGACTGCTTTTAGTTTCCGAGCATTTTGTGGTCGTCTACTTTTCCCCCCGAGCGTTCAGATGACAGCCGGAGAGCGAGACGACGGCCTGACATGCTCTGGCAGCGCTGCGATCGGAGCCAGCTCTTGTGGTTTTGCGCTCCGTTGATGGCGGCGGCGGCGAGCTTTCCAAGAGCAGAGAAACAAACTGTTTAACAGCACCGACTCTTTGTTGCCTCCATAAACGTGTCAGATCGATCACAGACTCGTCTGCTTTCAGTTTGTTTGCTTCTCAGAGAAAAACTGAAATAAAATCATAGAGAAAACGAGATCTATTACACGAAGGCTGTTTGATGAGCTGCCGGGCGATTAACGTTCATGCAGCGGAGACGTTTACGAGCCTGAAGGGCGTTTTAATCTGAGGTCAGCTGACTCACAGCAGTGTTTGAGTTTCACACGTTCATTTCAGGAATTTTCCCACATCTTTCAGAAAATTCTTCCCTGAATGTTTCACAGCCTGGTTAGCCTCACATTTCCATGAACTAGCAAACAGAGAGCCGCTGACCTGCTCCAGGACAACAAGTATCTGTTCATCTTACACGCCGAGCTGAAATATGAGGACGTTACAGAGCACGCTCTCCTCAGGATGAAGCTCCACCCACCAGGGACACAGCTGAAGGAAGCAAAGACGAACCAGCGTGAGAAGAAGACTAAACCTGAGCCACAGCGTCTCAGGTACAAATCAGAAAACTCGTCGTCAGAACTTTAAACCTGAAGGTGATGATGAGTGTGTGAAATGCATGCTGGGAAATTTATAGGTCAAAAGGTTAAAGGCGACCAAAAGTTACCTGGATGTAATCCAGGATGAGCTGGTGCCTCTGCTTGGCCGTGGCCACCTCGCCGTCAGTGATGGCCTCCCGCAGTGCCTGCTGGGTAATAAGGGCGTCCAGGTCGAGGACGGAGGACAGGCGGCAGTACAGGCTGATGAACTTCTCTTTGTAGGTGCAGAAGTGCACTGAGGAGAGAAAGGAAAGGGGACGTGAGAGAGGACACTCAAAGCATCGCGGCGGTCTGACTCGGCCGGCGCGGCGAGCAGCAGTGCGTACACAGAGCGAGTGTTGCTCAGTGTGATTGGCTGCAGACTGATATAATGCTCGGCTCTGCAGACGGACCCGAGCGTCTGTGCCGCCGTCTGTGCTGCTCATCCCGCCACAATAAAAGCCCAAAGCTCTGCCGCACGTCTGCACAGCGAGCCCGTAAACCTGAGAGCCCGCCTCAGAGCTGCTGCGGGACAGTCGGCTGAAGACTTCCTGTAAGAGCTGGTGTATGTGAATGCACCGCCGAGCTGCTGCTCTGTGATGTTTCTCCAACACGCTCGCTCCCTGGTTACGGCCTGATTGGAACGTTAGACTTCCTAAAACCTGGAGATGGCGCTCCACATCCCCGTTCTTCAGGCCTTCTGCAGTCGTCTCGTTCCATTGAGCTCGTGGTCTTGAAAGTTCTGCTCGGTAGCTTCTAACGTGTTCACCGTGTTTCCCAGCGTCTCCGTCTCTTAAAAACGCCTCAGTGGGTCGTTCTCGGCATCTCCGTGCTCATGAACCTCGCCGCTGCTTCATTCTCAGCAGAGCCGTCTGCTCCACCTTTAGATCCACCACGATGTTTCATCCCTGAAAGTCACCGTGCCATCAAACCGATGTAACGTGCTGCTGCGTGCTCTTACCGAGTTCGAACATCTGCAGGGGCAGGTGGAGGAACCCCGACAGCGGGGTGTAGGGGTTGGACTGTCCGGGGGCGGAGCAGACGTCATCGGCGGCGGGCAGCAGCAGCAGGAAGGAGACGCCGTGACCGAGCTCCACCACCTCCTGACTGTAGAGCCGGAAGTGACGGGCCTGCAGACACACACACACACACACACACACACTGTACTTCAGTGTCTGCTAATAAAAGTCAAATCCTTTACAATGAGCATCATTAACGTGTAAAATAATAATAAATGACGTGATTCCAGTAAAACGTCGTCTGCAGGCCTGAAATGAGACGCTTCCTCTGCAGGTTAGAGAACCTGTCACATGACTACAGGCTGATTTTACAGCCTGATGTTTGCAGGTGTTACCTGCAGGAGCAGCTTACGTTATAACTTTGTAACACAGCCTGTGGCGGGTGGTGTAGTTCCCCTGCAATATAAGAACTGACAGTGGTTTTATTACTAAGTCATTATGTTTATGTAGAAATACTTAAAGGCAGGAACACGAGCATAAGGAGGTAACAAGACAGGTTTTTAAAGGAAAAGGAAATAATTATACTGTAAGTAATATATACACTGTAATATCCTGTAAGCACGCAGGATTTATTTAGTGTCTGCTGTAGGAGAGCTCATCACACCAATGTGGGTAAAACAACTGAACATAGTCCACATTATTAACACCCTGAAAAGTGCAGCACAGGTAATTACACGGTACTTTAAACTGAATCATTTCTCTCTGTTCCTGTAAAATATAAATAAAGAGCATTTACTCGTGCACTGCCTTAAACAACTACACATTACTGTTACTGCATCACTTTGTTGTTTCCTGTACAAGCCTGACTGTTTACTAGGGATGGGTACCGGTATGCACCGCTTCTGACATAAACGGTAGTAACCAGACCGAAAAGCAGCGCACATTTCTTTTTTTTCCGCCTGAGCTGTGACACACTTTAGATTCTAGCCAATCTTTTTACGTTTCTGAGGATAGTAGGCGGGTCCAGGCACGTACGTTCTTTTAGAGCAGAGCTTCAGATTAAAAATGCCCAAGGCAAAGTCTGGCTGTACTTCACAGCAAAAGATGCAAACTCAGCAGCAACAAGTGCTTTAAGCTGATACTGTGATACTGTCAAAGGAGGTAACACCTCGAATCTGATGAAACACCTGGCGACGCATAGAGTTTTCTTAAAAGTCGAGAAATGCACCGTATTTGATAGCTTGCTGCGAGACCTCACACCGAGCGCATCTACTGCGGTGTGGTGCCTGTTATCTGACCCGGAGTTAGCAACATCCCCCAAAAACCCGAAGAGGAGAGTCCTGGCCCCTAGCCCTGCCAGTGTAGCAGAAATGATGAGGATGATGATGCAGCAGCAGCCGTTCTTCTCTGCGTGAGTAGCTTAATGTTGTTCCTGTGTAATTTACGTTGAGTAGGCTAACCATGTTATTACATTAATGCATGTAAGGTGAACTAGCAAACATCATCATAGCTACATGCGGCTGTCTTCTTGTTTGATGGCAGATGCTCCCTTCACCCTGGACAAAAAGTCTAAAATGACCAAAGAAAAAGTGGACGAAATTTATAGCCAAAGATCTCCATCCATTTTCAACGGTGGTGTCACCATCACTCAGGTGAAAAATGTCGTATTACTCTGACGTAAAAAAAATAGTATGTTATAGACTGTATGTTACAGAAAAAAAGAGACGGCTAAAAATAAAAACATGTTCTTCATTCTTTAAGCACCGGCACCGTTTCAAAAGTACCGGTTTGGCACCGGTATCAGAGAAAACCTAAACAATACCTTCCCTGCTGTTTACCCTCATGTTGTTCGAGTGTTCCTACCTGTAAGTATTTGTAAGTAATATAAGTACAGAGTAACTATGGCTGTAGCCGCGTGCTGTTTGAGGCGTGCGTACCTGGTGCAGAGGTAGGTTGATGTGTTTCAGCAGGGACTTGATGGCCGTCTGCAGCTCATAGTACAGTAAAGGGGCGTGACTTTCTGCCCGGGGCCCCGCCCCCTGGTCGTCCTCCTTCTCTCCTGCAGCTGCCAGCGTCTGGATCCAGTCCCACTCCTCTCTGATTGGACAGCACACACAGACAGAGGCGGGTCACTGATGCCGTCAGAGACTTCCTGCGGACCGCAGGGCGGGGTCTCCGCTCGCCTCGGCTAACCGAAACCGACAAATCAACACCAGCTTCATCTGCACGCCGGCTCACACACTCAAAAACACAGCAGGAGCTCTTTTCTCTCCCGTTTCTTCCATTCTTCGACCACGCCGAGCTGCCGAGCTCGCACATATTCTTGGAAGTCGACGAGCAGGAATACGATGTTGATCCTCGATCAGTCCGAGCGAGGACACGCCGAACATCTCACACTGACTTTAGCTCACAGTAGGAACCAACTGGTGCTGGAGCTTCACGAGGTAACGCGGCAAGATTCAAGTCGGTTCCCTCTTTTCATCGTTAGTTCCCTCCTTCGTTGGTTTGTTCATCGCTTCCTTCCGTTCCTAGCTTGTTAGATTCTTCTTTCCTCCTTCCTGGTTGCTGTGTTTGCATCTTCCATGTTTTTCTTATTTTTTCTTTTATTTCTTTGTAAAGTTTCTTCACTTGTTTCCTCATTGGTTACCTTCTTCCTGTTTTTCTTCCTTGGTCCATTTTCTTCTTTTCTTCAGTCTCTTTGTTACTTGCTTCCTTTTTAGTTCCTTCCTTTGTTTCTTCCTCTGTTTATCCAAAGTCGAGTTACACGGGTGACAGACCAATGAGGGAGCTGCACACGCCCATTTTGCCAGCAAAACTTTCCAGATATTCCCGGACGATTCCAAGGTGCTCGCAGGCCAGATGAGGTATTCTCCCCAGCATGTTCTGGATCAACCAGGAAATCCCTTCCAGTTTTCCAACCCGCCACAGGCTCCGGGCAGCCGTCCTAATCAGACGTCGACCCAGCCGCCCTGCAGAGGAACCTCATTTGATTTCAGCCACGTGTGCTGCTGCAGGAACAAAGCAGCGTTCGCTCTACATTTCACACGGAAACCAAACTAAGAGCTCGCCATTCAACAACCCCGCAGTCTGAGAGCGAGCGACGTCACTGACATGAAACAGCTTGGAAACCTTCCTCCCTCCTCCTCTCAGCTCCTTCAGCTGAGAGCACTGACCCCGTCTCCCACCCTCGTCGTGCACTCGCCTCATTCAATGCAGCTGTTATTCAGCACTGAGGTAAGCCTACCTGGACACGTTGGCGTTGTCTCGTACGCGGGTGTGGCAGAGCATGTTGGGGGTCCGCTGGGACACCAGGACCTTGATCTGGTCCACGGAGCTGCTGAGCTTCAGGTAGCCCAAGTAGAGTCCCGGGGCGAGCCGGTGGGTGCTGCGCCGTTGGTACGCCAAAATGTCCTTAAGGGCAGAAACAGAAACGGGTTAAATTCAGGACTTCCTGTCAGGTGACTCGCGCCTGTGCCTCACCTGTATGGTGATGATGAGGATGTCGAGGGCGTAGGGCTCCTCGGGTGTGGACAGAGACTTCCTCTGGCTCTGCAGTTTGGTCACCTGCATCCACTTCCCGCTGAACAGCGAGTGCTGGCTCTCCGTGTCGCGGATCGTCACCAGCAGCACGTTGCCATGGCGATCCTTGATGGGCTCGTAGTGGACCCGGCCCAGGTTGTGGGTTCCCAGGAGGTTCTGCGGGTGGAGCAGGTAAACATTACAGGATTACAGGTCTGAGACGGCTCTGGGCACGCTCGGCCTGTCGGACGTCACTTTGAAGGTTTGATTTGTGATTTTCACTGAAGCTGATTGGTCGGTTTCCTGACCTGCAGCTGCCCGGCGGCGGTGAGCATCTTGTGCCTGGCCTGCAGGGTGGAGGACGACGACATGGACACCGACATGCTCTGTCTCAGCCACCGGACGTCCTCCCACATGCAGGACAGCTGCAGACACACAAACAGGAAGTTGACATCAGAGACACAGCGTGTGAAAAACTGTCCATTAACACACTTTAATCCTTTGCCGTTCCTCCTCCACCCTCTTACTACAACCAAGCAAAAGCTGCTGAGGGCTGAAGCAGCCATTATGACTCCAGCTCGCACACACTGGTCACACTGGTCACACTGGTCACACTGGCAGCTTCCCTACAGAAGCCCTTCAGTTACAGCAGACTTGCAGGTTGTAGCGCTGCAGCGATTCGGTTCGTTACGCTGAACCTCGTGACTCATTGTTTGCAGGTTCAAACCCACAGTCTTTAGAAACAGAGAAGTGTGGCAGTACAGAGAGGCTGGAGGGAGACCAAAACCCTGAAACAAGACGTGAACTGTTCAGACATTTATGTCCAAACCAGCTGCCTGCTGGGAATAAAAGACAGCCGAGACCCAGCAGCAGAAATAAATACGACACATGATGAGAGGAAAGGGTGTGAGGAGCAGAGGGCTCATTCAGAGCTGCCGGACAGACGACGATGATGACGAAGATGATGAGGTTTTATTTGCGTACCTTTGTGAACCACAGGAAGTCCTGCATGAGCGAGCTGCTGTACGAGTCATCCACCTCCACGATGGGGATCTGCTCCTCGGCCGTCACCAGTAAACTGTCCTTATGGTAGAACACAGCCGCCAGGTAGATCCCCCTGCACGCACAGGATGGTGCGGTCCGCACAGGTGAATAGAAAGGAGAGTTAGCGTGCTTATGCTAATGATGCACTTTACAGTTTAATCAGATTCGGTCTGAAAAACCATCATTTTATGAGTTTACTGAGTTAAATTAGGATAAAGATGTTTGTTATTCTGTTTCCTGTGTCTCTGCTTCCTACTGCAGCTTTCTTGCTGTGGTCCGTCATCGCGCTGACATCAGTGGTTTCAACTTCCTGAAACAACTTTATGTTGTGGTGTGCGCCACTGACCCCAATCAGAGACTTTTAAATAAGAAAGACACAAGAAACTAAATCAGCAGTCCTGAAAAGCTCAGGCGCCAAGTTGGAGCCACTGATGTCACTGCAGGACTACCACAAGAAATTCCACCCAAGAGAACTACTGTTGATACCAGCAGGGCATCAGTGTCTATGGGAGGGATTCAATTCAATTCAATTTTATTTATATAGCGCCAAATCACAACATAAGTCGCCTCAAGGGATGGCTGCAAGAAAACTCCTGCAATATCCACCAAGACTGAGCTGGTTCCCACGTGAACTCGATCCACATATTTCCACTAAAACATGGAGGTGCTACTGCGAGAATTCCCACCCGCCACACCTAAACCAATGAACGTGATGCTGGTGCCACAAGAACGGGAAGCCTATGAAGGTTACAGTGAAGCCGAGAGCGTCCTCAGGCTCGTCGTGGAGAAGCAGCTTCTGACCTTTTCAGTGTCTTTACAAACTTGTTGGAGGAGTTGAAGAGATGTTTCAGACTTCTGGAGACAGACTGCTTCCTGCTGGGGTTCTGCAGCTTAGAGGCATCTGAACAAAAAGACGAGAGAAGAAGAAAACAAGTGAAAACTGCGTTTTTTTTCCAGCTTCAGTCTAAATGTTTGTTTATGGGTCAGCGGGGTCGAGCTTCTCTCCCACGCTGCCGCTCTGACTCAATCTTATCTCCTTTCCCTCGCGTCCTCTGTCGCTCCCTCTGGCCTCGCGAGGACGCCGACTGGCCGCTCAGTGATGCCAATCTCCAGACCGCAGCGCCCCTTTTACTGCAGCTAATTAAGCATCACGTAATTACCGTCCTGTAAACAGACGTCAGACGTGGAGCCGACAGGAGCCGGCCGCAGACCGCCAGGGGAACGAGCCGTGATACAGATGCACAGTGGAGGGAGCGTCGAGGAAAAACAGATCATCGATCCCGTGACCTCTGACCCCTTCCCAACAGAAAAGCAGCACACAGCAACATCACCGTAGGTCACAGCGTCCTCGTGTGCTGGTGCTTTAAAGCCTTTTATTAAAACCATGTTGGTTTAACATATTAAACGACTTTAAGGAGCAACATCTGTGCAGCTGTGTGTTTAGTGTCACGTCAGTTCATTTTCATTCAGTTTGTGTTTCAGCTCAAACTGACGTCTGAAACACACGAAGCTCACGTGAAACCCTGAATCTGTAACTACCTGCACGTCACAGCTGCGAAAGGTCGCCCCCTGCAGGCCATGAACGGTACGCTCACTGTTTTTATAAGCACGTTAATATTGCTGCAAACAAATCAACTTACATGCCTGAAAGTCCCACAAAACAACCTGCATCATGTTTAATGACTCGCTGTGTTGTTTGTCTGCTCTACTCAGGATCTCAGAGACGAGGGAAACATCGTGATCCCGGCGCCTACACGACCATCTTCTGCTGATCTCTCCTCACAGGCTGCTGTTGTTCCTCTGTTGGGTTTGACGAGGTGAATTAAGGCTTCGGGTTTCTATCTCTCCATGAAATTGCTGTTTGCTCGTTAAAAGCTGTAATTACAGCTCGTTTTATCGGAGCGCCTTTTGTCCAGCTGCTGCTGCTCTCGCACACTCGCATTTGGAAAATTGGCCTTTTTCCGAGTCTGTCACAGGGAACCTGACGACTTTAGCAAGTCTCTGTGTGCGTGAGCTCCGAGCTAACCGGCTCTGACAACTGGATAATGTGACGAGAGCTCGCACGCCATGCTGAATAAACACAGGAATGAGTTTTGTTGGAGAGGGCTGCAAACACGATTGGAGTCGATTAATGAGGCGTCCACCTCTCCATCTGTCAGAGAGGAGGACGGGGGAGAGTTTGAGTTCTGACATTTCAATTACAGGTTATTACAGCGTTTAACTGCTTCTGAGACAACATCCAGCTAAGTGAATGAGACGAGGAAGAGGAGACAGATGAAGGCCTGAAACCTCCTGCAGCCTGCAGTGACGATGACGATGTGATTAATAAAAAAACTGATAAACTGATATCTGGTCAGATGGTGTCACGTCCCTGCGTCTGCCCGGTCGGGACACATGGTTTTGTTGCCTCTCTCTCTCTCTCTCTCCTGTCTCCTTTCTGCCTGGGCGGAGCTTACTGTGGGCTCCAGCCTTTGGCCCACGCACCTGCAAACAATCCCTCACCTGCGGCTCGGTATCCTGCTTCTCCACTATTTAAACGGTGGCTCAGAGCGTTTCGTGGCTGGATGCTTGCACGCCTCACGTCAGCGTCGCTGTAACCTCGTCCTGGTTCTGATCTCTTCGCCTGTTTATTCCCTGGACCCGTCCTGGTTTCTCTTGCCTGGATTCCCGAGTGTTTGGCAGCGTGGACGAAGCGCGGTGTGTGGATCGATGATCCAGTGTCCCTCTGCCCTCCCTCCCGTGGATCTCTGAAACCCCGACTCCCCCTCTTTGTACAAAGCTCTGCGTCTGTGAATAAACAGTTTTTCCTGGGTCCGCTCAGACAGGCGTGAGAGCGTCAGTAAAAATGAATCTGCGTTGTGATCGAAGAGCATGTTTGTGTCTGCAGACTGTGTCTCCACACATGTGTCTCTGCAGATATTACAGCAATAAAAAAAAAAGAAAAGGTAAAAGGCCTGTATTTATATAGCGCTTTACTCGTCCCTAAGGACCCCAAAGCGCTTTACATATCCAGTCATCCACCCATTCACACACTGGTGACGGCAGCTACATTGTAGCCACAGCCACCCTGGGGCACACTGACAGAGGCGAGGCTGCCGGACACTGGCGCCACCGGGCCCTCTGACGACCACCAGTAGGCAACGGGTGAAGTGTCTTGCCCAAGGACACAACGACCGAGACTGTCCGAGCCGGGGCTCGAACCGGCAACCTTCCGATTACAAGACGAACTCCCAACTCTTGAGCCACGATCGCCCTTCATCAGTGGGATTCAAACTCCCACTGATGTCAGAAACGCCTTTTTAACACGGTTGTGTTAAAAGTTACATCTAAAGGATTAAAACGTAACAAAAAATGTTTATTGTGGTGAAGGCCATCCGCCACGAGCCCGCCGACACTCACCTCCACAGCAGTAGTGCGTGTGAGTCGCTCGGACCTGCTGCAGGAGACGCTCCATGGCCTCGATGTGGCCCCGCCTCCTGGGTTCCCGGCCATCGCTCTCCCGCCAATCTGGACAAGGCACCACAGGACAAATGAAGGAACTGAGTGAATCTGCGAGAGCTCCAGTCACCTCAAACGTAAGCATTGTAACGTGCGTCGGCGTGGACTCAGGTGCAGCTACCTGCTGTTTTCATGTGCAGACTCAGACAGCTGGACAACTTTGAAATGACGTTTACAGAAAAAATAAAGTCTAACGTGTGAGCAGAGACAGGAGAACAAGAACGGCTCCGAAAATGTGTTTGTGTGTGAGATGCTACAGAATGAACTAATGGATGTCAAGCATCTTTAGAGGTGTAGTCGTGCTTTCACTCTGTTTAAAACAAACACCCACACACTTTCTGTCCTCTGCTTCTGACATATGCGCGCACACACACACACACACACACACACACACACACACACACACACACACACACACACAGCTCAAGGCTGAAGCTCCAATGTGCAGGAAAAGAGAAAGCGAGTCGTGACAGAGCGATGAAATTGATTTTCCCGACCCGAGGACGTCAGAACAGGATGTTCACACGATTCACAGCGGACGCACACTTCAGTCACGACCACAGGAACAAACCCTGCAGGTTCACACCGCACGAACTTCCTGTTTTATGTGACAACATTCGGACTCATGTATTTGTGCTTTGTCACACGTCACGTCATCCCGGCTCTGCTGACGGCTGATCCTCGGCTTCGTTCGGGTTTTCCTTGATCCCTGCGGGTTGTCCCAGGCCTCTGACTGTGTGTAAGGCAGGTCAAAGTTCAGCCGAAGAGTCCGCGTGGCCCTGTGAGCGTCTCTGAGGTCACCAACAACATCACATTGTCTGCTAACAATCTCCTTGTTCTTCCATCGTTGGGATTTTGAATCTCACGTCTTTAAGCTCATCCAGTCACAAACTCTCCAAAAATGTAACAAATGAGCGAGTGAGTAGTTTATCAGTTTCAACCGATCTCACCTTTAACTGGTCTAGAAGGAAACCAAAGCTAGCCTCCTACACGTATATCAGCATCTAGTTACTCCCTGGAGAAAGTAATCTGTTACTGTTGTTTGTGGGAGGAGCTAGAAGTCATTCTAAACCCACAGGTGGCGAAATATCTGCAGCCTCACATGAAACATGCCCTCCACCTGAGCGTCATATCCAACCTGAGAACATGCGGCACGACCTCGCCTGTCGTCAGCTTGTGTTTCACTCGCTCATTTGTGGTTTTTCTGCAACTGCAACAAACCAATTTACCCCACCAAGTCAATCTGCTCTCTGCAGGCCTGTAACAGTGGCTCTGTAACATTTACACGATGCATTATTCAGCAGAGGAATATAAAACCAGGCTGAAACAGCTGCTGCACAAAGAGGTTAAACTCCAGAGTCACAGAGAAGCTGCGAGCTGCTGAGATGGTGAGGTTAATGGAAAAATATGGAGAGAACTTACTGGATGGAGCAGCAGATGGAGGGAGGGAGGAGGCGGGCGGACCCCAGCCCTTCATGTTATAAGCCGACACTCGAACGTAGTAGAGCCGACCCTGAAAAGTAGAAACCCATCTGTTAGAGTGAAGAGGCGAGTTTGGAGGAAAGAAATCACTTCTGGTGAAAATAACTGCATCAACAAAAGTATGTGGACACTTCCACTGTTGGAACTGCAGCAGTGTGTCCACATACTTTTGTCTTTTTATCCTGCCTCCTGTTATTAATGTGTCAGGACGGGACTGAGCTGTTTCTGGCTTTTTATCCCTCAGATGTCGGTTAATGTGATGACTCCCACTGAGTGCTGTGAAAGCGTCTGCACAGCTTTTTCACCAACTCATTTGTCTGCTTATTCATGCATTTAAAGCTGGAACATTTCCGACGTGCACGTCTGAAAAAGTTTTCTAAAGGTTTGAAGAGGTTTCTTTATTTTCTCTGGCAGCCTGTCCTTGGAAAAAAACCAACAAAACGCTCTGACAGTCATTTTTACTGTTTTATATCATCAGGACACTTTGTGGAAATAAACCTTTGCTGCTGTAAAAGTTCGTGAAAGCATAAGTGCTTTAACATTTGAGGAAAGTTTCCTTTCAAATGTCACTCTGCTGCTTGGTTCAATTTGGGTTTTAATTGGAGCCCCTCGAGCCTGTGTGCTCCGCCCCCTTCTGTTCATCCACACAGACAGCAGCTCAGAGGAGGTCTGCAGAAAAAACCAGCACTGCCATCATCATCATCAACAGCCGACTGCTCGCCTTCAGCCAACGTAACGAGGACACGTCTCCACGCTGGAAACATCAGAACGTCTCCACAGAAAACAGTCGACTCCACCTGAGCAACACGAACAACACGTTTACTTTCAGGCTCGCACTGAATCAGCTGACCTCATCCAATCAGAGCAGGGTGCAGCTTTTTCACCGACAGCGGCCTCGATCCCTGAAACCGAACGACGGAGCCTCCGTTACATCAAACTAATGACTTTAACCCAATATCACTCAGGTTTCTTTAAACTCGGCCCCACCCTCAGCAGGCCCCACCCTCAGCAGGCCCCACCCCTCAGAGGTTGTCATACCTCTTTGCAGCCAGTTTCATGCTAGCAACCAGCAGAGGAACATATATTTCCTGGGTGTGCAGGCCTGTGAGACTGGTCTCTACGTGCACAGACCACCAGGCCGACGTTTGTGCCCACCAATAAACGTTAAAAATCTTTTTTCCCAGGAATTCAAACGTCCTGCTGTCGCTGCTGTGTCTGTCTAAATAAATGTTTTTAACGCCATGTGCTGAGATATTATCAGCTATCATTAGCTCCCTACCTTCACTTTGCTCCCTGGCTACAAAAACACCACCTGCACCACCTGCACCTGTGCTGTGTTCCGGTCACAGCTCCTCGCAGCTTCAGGCTTTCTTCCACCTACACAAACAGGCCCCCCGTGGCCCCCCCATGTGTGTGCCCTGCAGGTCTAATCCTTCCAGGACAGCTGAGTACTTAAAGGCCTCCGAGCTCCTCGTGCGGCTCGGCCCCGACTCGATGAATTCAGTATGTAAATGAGAGCTGTGACGTTCGAGGCCCAAGAGCCTCGCCGGCTCATTATTCGCCCTCGCAGCGTCTCCGGCCCTTTCAGCCTGCTCTCTAGTTCAGGGCCGCCGTGGAAGTTTGTGAAAGCCGCTCGCTGATCTAAATGGCAAACAGCAGCTGTGGTTCGGTGTGTGCAGCACAGCGAAAACAAGTCTGCATCACAGACGCCGATCAGCCAACGCACAACGCAGGGACCGCGCAATGACATCACCGAGGTCCGAAATCACGCGCCTGCTGCAAACGAACACATGCATCACAGCGAGCGGACAAACGTGCAAACGACAGACCGACCTGAGCGACAGCAGCTTCGTCGTGACAGAAACTCTATTCAATCCTTTTTCTGAAACTGTGAACTAAAGCCAGCGGCAGACAGGTGGATGTGCGGAGGAGGGATGCTCTTGTTACCGTGGTGAGGCTGCTGATGGTGCACTTGAGGCTCTGCAGGTTATCCAACACCATCTCTCCGGCGAGCAGCGAGAAGTCCTTCAGGCAGCTCCATTCCACTGCGAACACATCGACAGACGCAACGTTAGCCTCCTCATCCCTGCCTCTGAGCACCACTTCCTGGTCCTCCGTGTAACCACGACAACCTGAGGCATCATCTGAGAATAAATCTGGGGTTTAAATCCAGAAGCTTTAGAGTTTAACCGTGAAGTAAACCTGTAAATTAACGCAGAACAACCTTGTTAATTTATCGTTTTAAATGTGGTTTTGCAGACCCAACATGAAGTCTTCAGTCGAAGCTTCACCTCGAACATCGAAACCTAAATGATGGCCTCACCTTTGACCTTTTAGTCTCTCAGACAGGACCAGGCCTGTGTGCGTGCATGCACATGTGTGTTCACCTCTGTACTTGGTCACCACAGTGGAGTTGAGACACTGCGGTTCCTGGAAGGTGACGGTCAGAGTGCTGCTACTGCTCACGCTCAGTCGAACCATGGACGGGGCCTCCGGGGCACCTGAGCAGGGGCACAGAGAGGAGGGTGAAACGTGTGTGTGTGGACCGTGGCTCTGACTGTTTTCCAGGTAACTATGGCAACATGTGATTGACTTCCTGTTTCCTGCCTGACGTCTTCAGCAGGTGTGATTAGTCGCTGTGTGAAGCCTGCAGAAGGACCTCAGTCGAATCACCCTGACGTTGCTCTAATGAGACCGTGAGTTCACCGCGCACGTCGTTCACGTCTCGATCGCAACCTTTCTGTTTTATAGCTGGTTGTGTAAATCCCGCCCCCTCTGAGCTCTGGGTGTAGCAGCTCTAATGTTGACAGGAACACCTCCAGCTGAACGTGTACTGCGCTCCGAATCTGCTGCAAAGGTCACGCGTGTCCCCATCAGGCTGTCTGAGCTGCCACACACACAGGAAGCGACGGCAGGAAATACACACTAAGGAGGGCGGCGTGCGGACTCACGTGCGTGCTGGAAGCCCGTCCTCATGCGTTTGTACAGCTTGCACCTCCACTCCCACGCCCTCAGCTGTTTGTCTTTGTGGCAGGCCTCCAGCGAGAGGCCGTCCCTCTGAGCCTGAGCCGCCAGGTCGACCGCCCGCCGCTCCGCCTCCAGCACCAGAGAGTTCAGGTGAGCCTCGCGACTCTCCACGCTCACGACTGCAGGAGAAACACAGCAGCTGGTTACAGACAGCAAACTGCAGGAGGAGCTTTCTGCTTCTTCACATTTTACCTGTGCTTCACACAAACCTCCACCCGCTGCACCCATTGTCACAGTTCACAGCCAGTGTCGCACTAACTGCTGAACGATCTGCGAGCGTTTGATTAAAGCTCAGACGAGCGTGTTTGGCTTTCTCGCTCGGTGGGCTGAATGTGGCGTCGTGTCTCCTGTTAGTGGAAGAAAAGCAGCTTGTGGAGGAGTTGGAGTTCGTCTCTGTCAAGGCCACGGCTCACTCGTCTTCAGAGGCAGACAAAAGGAGATGCAGCAGAGAAAACCAAACACGGAAACGTGTTCTGAGCGAGCGCAGAGGGACCAAAGGTGCAGGGCGGCAGAAAGACGGGAGAAAGGAAAGAAAACTTTCTCTGATCGATCGTCAGGTCTGTTATTAAAGCATCTGTGCTGCATGTTTGTGCTTCGGTGTGTGAGCGGCTACATGCCGTGTGTTTCAGCTGCCTCTTATTTAGCACCAAGGACGAAATCAGTCGTATAAAAATAACTTCAGCTGATGGAGCTGACGATGAAACAAAGCTCTGGGGAAGCAACTGGAGAGTCCATCACAGGGCGGGGTTTTCAACGGGCTGTGCAAAAGTCTTGAGCCACATTTTGCACAAATGATTCATAGGTCAGAGTTCAGAGGCTTAACAAACAAAAGCATTCTTCTGAAAATGAAACACTGAACACGAGAGGAAAAGCAGCAACGTCTGAAGAAAACCTCTGAGATCTTAGGATGAGACGCTTTTCTGTCCGAGCTCCTTAGACTACGATGAGCTGGATGACTGAGAACCTTCACAAACAACTGTGAAAGAAAGCTTCAGATCTGCTGCTCGCGAGTCTGTCTCCTTGGAAGCAAAATACACAGAAATGAGGGGTGGCTCAAGATTTTTGCACTATAACTATAAAACCAGTGAAAATCAGGTCCTAATGAAACCAGTTGGGTTTGAGCTGTAAAGTCCAGGATCTGGTTCTAGAGCCCACAGAGGAGCCCGAGGATGCATCAGCATCATCATCATCAGAAACAACGACTGGCATGTTTTTAGAAGACGAGCGTCATGTGTGGACTGTGGAGCCTCTGAGGATGGAAACATTTCTTTTTCATGCTCTGACTGATGTTTCCCCTCCGCCCGAGTGAAGAGTGGCAGCAGAGCAGTGGTATGAAGTCTGACGGGCGCATTCATCACCAGCACAGCTCTGTGTGTGTTCCTCCACGTTTGTCACGGTGAAACGCTCCGCGAGCTGCCAGCCCGCCCAAACACCGCCGCTTTACTGCGACGCCACTCGCTGCCGTCCAGTTCTCAGTCACGGACCGTGACAGCAGCATAAACAAGCAATTAGCAGCAAACAAGAACACCCTCACACACACACACACACTCACTGTGTGTCTCAGTCTAACCTGCTGCATGCAGAGATGTTATGAAAGCGAGTAAAAATGAGCTGTGAGGAGAGATTTCAGCTGCTGTCGACATGTTCTGAAGTCTGCACAACAAACCAGCTCATCCAAAAAATAAAGCCGAGGATGATTTACGCTTCAAGACCTGAGCACAGAATTATGTGACGCTTTCAGCTCCTGAAACTGTGCTTCACACTCTGATAGGACAGGCTGATGAGAGCAAAGAGCATGAAGTCCAGCTGTCAGAGTGTAACGTCCATCATCAGTGTCCACGTGAAAGCCCACGAGTATTCACACTACAGCCCACGAGCCACAAACGGACTTCAAAGATGTCTGACAGCAATGACTCTGCAACAAAGTCAATGATTCGATACGCAGAGTCCAAAACTGATGAGCGACACCACAACAGCTGAATGAGTTTGTGGCTGTTTAACATTGAGATAGAGATGCAACGATACCAATTTTTTCAAATACGATACCGATACTTGGATCTGAGTACTTGCCGATACAGAGTACAAAAACCGATACTTCTACCACACACACACACACACACACACACACACACACACACACACACACACACACACACACACACACACACACAAATGCAATGAATTGAAAGACAGGTTTTATTTTATTCTCTGCCGATAAAAAATAAAATCTTAATAAAAATGACCACAAAAAAATTTCAAGTGAAAAATAAGCACTTCTGTTAAATTATTGCAGAGTCTCCACATTGTAATTTAAAAACCACTGAACTATTGGCACTGTCTCGAGCTTTCAGAATAATAAATAAACACTTCTGTTTGGAATAAAATAAATACAAATTAGGTTTGAGAATAAAATAAACTTTTAAATTATTGCAGAGTGTCCATATTGTAAACAAACAAACAAACAAAATAACGAAAGTATTTGGCACTGACGAACTCCCCATCTGCCCGTGGATCATCAGTCCACTGTGACGTTAAACCGAGGACTGACATCGCGCACACACTGCTGTCTTTACCTCTTCAGAAAGTTTTGGCACCATTATCTCCCTGATGTGTGGGCGGCTGGGAATTTCATATTGTGACTCGAGTACGCTGAGAAGACAGTGCAATCCTATGTTTTCCACGACTGGCATTGGCTGGTCATCCAGAGCGATAAAATGAGTCAGAGCCTCTGTTATTTTACCTGCCCGTGGATTTTCTCTTGACATTTTTCATCACTTTTCCAAAACCTGAGTTAAAGTTGGCTGTTCCGGTCCACACTGCTGACATTTTGTTTAGCCTAGCTACAGCAGCCTCCAGTTTCTCTTTTTTATCTGGAGCCGCCAGTCTCACTCGCCTAACCCTGTGCCTGTTTAGCGTGGGATGTCCCCTTAGTGGCCAATCTAAAAAACTACAACAGAAATGACATGCCACCCTCTGATTAAAGAAATAAGTTAGTATCGGTTCATGGTATCTGTTAACTTTTACGAGTATGAGTACACACACATTTTACAGTATTGGTCCCGATACCCGATACCAGTATCGGTGCATCCCTACATTGAGATCAATTAAAGTGGAACAGAGCACAACAATAACAAGGAGTGTGAGTTTGTTCTGTGTGTATGAACAGCGGTGCACCACAGGGCTCCATGCTGGGACATCTGCTGTTTAACATTTCTTGCAGCACGTTAACACAACACGTTAACGTCAGCTTCTATGCTGACAACTCTCTCACTTCACTGAGTTACTGGTTCTGTCACTAGTAGCTATAACAAACCAGTTACTACCGATGGTAACCAGAAAACCCAGGAATGTCATGTTCTTCAGCAGGATGACGCTACACTTGCTATAAAACCTGCAAACTGAAACATTCGTGTTTAAATCCTGTGTTTAAATCTGCGAGAGTAGATCACTGTGATGTAGATCATGTCCTCTGTTCCTGTAAATATATGAGAGGTTTTCTAGAACAATCTCACAGACTCCAGTAAACAAACTGTAGAAAACGCTGACCTTCAGCAGCAGAGCAACAAAGAGTCATGACTTACTTCTTAAGACGCTTTGGTTAAAAACACCACGAACTGTGTTTTTAGTGCCAACAATGCTCGCTGATGATGAGCGGTCTAATCTCCTGGTCCTGACGGTGTAGAGTGGCAAAGGTCTTCACCACCATCTTCAACCTCTCACTGGTACAGTCTGTCGTACCATCCTGCCTGTGAGCAGCCACCATCGTTCCAGGGCCCAAGAACACGGTGAGCTGCTTGAATGACCATCGTCCACGTGCTTTAACAGCCATAATTACCAAATGTTTTGAGCAGCTCATCATGTCGCACATTAAAGCTGCCATCCCTGCAGACCTCGATCCACACCAGTTTACATTCAGGGCAAACAGGTGGACAGAGGACGCCATACTTACAGCTCTTCACAAAGCCCTCACCTGGGCAGTAGTAACCCCTGTGTGAGAATGCTGTTTGTGGACCAGCTCTGCCTTCAACACAGTTCAACCCCACAGACTGGTTAATAAACTAAGCAACTCATGACTCAGCAGCTCACTGTGCAGCTGGATACTGGACTTCCTGAGCAACAGACCCCAGAACATCAGAATGGGAGAGCACACCTCTACCCTCATTCTGAATGTGGGCGTCCCACAGGGGTGTGTCCTCAGTCCCCTCTTATACTCACTTTTCTCCCATAGCTGTTCACCAATCCACACCAGTAACACCTTTATAAAATTTGCTGATGACAGCACCGTCATAGGACTGATCGACAACAGCGATGATTCAGCTACAGAGAGGAGGTTCAGCATCTGAACACAGCCGAGACCAAGGAGATGGTAATCGACTTCAGGAGAACAAAGCGATCTGAGCACTCCACCCTCTACATTGATGGAGGAGGCAGAAAGGGTAGAAAGCTTTCCTCGGAGTCCACATCTCGGCCGACCTCACCTGGTCCACAAACATCTCCCACCAGGTAGGGAAAGCACAACAATGGCTGTACTTCCTCAGGAAACTGCATCAGGCCCAGTTACCCCAGAGTCTGCTAGTAAACTTTTACCGTTCCACCATCGAGCCTTCTGACCTCCTGCTGCACACTCTGGTCCAACTGCTGCACCACGGAGGACAAGAGGAAACTGCAGCGGGTGGTGAGGGCAGCAGAGCGGGCAATCGGCACCTCACTGACCCCCCTCAGAGACATCTACAGGGAGTGCAGAATTATTAGGCAAGTTGTATTTTTGAGGAATAATTTTATTATTGAACAACAACCATGTTCTCAATGAACCCAAAAAACTCATTAATATCAAAGCTGAATGTTTTTGGAAGTAGTTTTTAGTTTGTTTTTAGTTTTAGCTATTTTAGGGGGATATCTGTGTGTGCAGGTGACTATTACTGTGCAGAATTATTAGGCAACTTAACAAAAAACAAATATATACCCATTTCAATTATTTATTTTTACCAGTGAAACCAATATAACATCTCCACATTCACAAATATACATTTCTGACATTCAAAAACAAAACAAAAACAAATCAGCGACCAATATAGCCACCTTTCTTTGCAAGGATACTCAAAAGCCTGCCATCCATGGA